TTAAGATAAAAGAACAAGCCCTCAACTTACCTTGCTCGGCATCGATAATTTTGTGCTGTAGGCCTGCTATCTGAGAACTCCTGTGCAGGGAACATTTTCTCGGTGAGTAACTTCGAATCGAGCAATAAGTCTTAGTCTACGTGAAATCGGGTCAACTACGTATGTTCTTCAGATTGTTTGACCTTAATGTATTCATTTACTAACGAAGAAGTTCAACACAATTGGTTATTTTTTCTTTCGTGATGCTAGTAATAAGCGATGGTACTTTTTATTTGTAGTAACGACAGAAACCTTGTAAATAAAGCAATCGTTATTGTTTTGTGGAGGTCATCGCAGGGTTTTTGATTATGTGCCTTCTCCGTGCTGAACTTTAATTTTTTGCTTCTGTTAAATTAGATCGTGGAACCTCAAGATATCTTTATTTGCTCACAGAGCAGATATTACAACTATTCTTGCTGAACAAACCTTAGTTCCAATTCATTTTCAAGAGTGGATATTTTCTTTTGTCGCTCTACAGATTTAGTTTTCGTTTCTCCCGGCGTTCCTCCTTCTTGAACCATTTTCTGTAAGCAAAGCACACGTAAAACAGATTCAATTTTTGTACTTCACCTTTTGATCCCTCAATGTAACAGGATTTCTTCTTTACGAAGGAAAAGAAGCAAAGTACCATTGACCGCTCTCCACTACTGTTTTTATTTCTTTTATTATTTTTTTTCGCTAATTATAACTACCATCTGGTAAGAAGGGATGGCGCAGTGGTGAGAGGGCTCGCCTACCTCTAATGTAGCCCGGGTTTTAAATCCCGGCGTCGACGCCGTATGTGGGTTGAGTTTGTTGTTGGTTCTCTCCTTTGCTCCGAGAGGTTTTCCCCTCTCCTCAACAACCAGCATTTCCAAATTCCAATTCGACCAGGAATCAGGTAGACGAAAAACCACTTTGTAGATGTGCTACCTCCAAATCATTATTTCATTTAATTTATTTAATTATTTAAGAAAATCGTCCAAATCAGCTACAAAAGCCAACGTCGCATAAACGTGAGTAAAACGTAAAACGGCCAAAAAACTTCAGTCGTTAATTGGTCGTAAAAATGAAAAATTTTAACCGTTAGTTGAACTGGAAGTTAACCGTAACTCTTTTCCATTACGGATGTATGTTAACCATATAACGGAGAAAACATGAACTGTTGCCCATAAAAAAACAAAACAAAACAAAAACAAAACAACAACAAAAACAGAATACTAACCGTGAACCGTAAATGATAGCCTGTGCCGGTAGAAAACGTTTCCGCACGAGTTTGTCGAGAAAGTTAGGACTAGAGTTCTCGCTGCTACTTTCGCGAAGTAACCCAATCGGAAACACTTGCTAGGCAGGCTAGTATCCGTTAGACTGAGCGAGTCAAACGTATTGAAATTCAATTCCAGAATTTTATTTGATGAAGGGGCTTCCTCTTCGGTAGAGTCTAAAGCCGTTAATGAGCGATTTGCGAGCTGGTAATTAAGGTAGTAATAAAAACACCCAACTCCAGAACTTAATGGATTAACTCGAAGGGGCTACCTCGTCGATGATAGTCTTAATCCGTGAACGAGCGATTTGCAAGGTGGTAAAAAAAAACAACTAACTGGTCGCTCACGAGACTGTCGCAGTGCCACGATCACGTCCATCAGAGGCAAGGGAGAAAGGAAATGAAAGGAGGGTAAGACAACAAGGCCGATGGCCGGTGAAATAGTTTGCTGAGAAGGGGTAAAGCCTTGTTTAACAGATACACAGATTAGCAGACGGAGAGACCAACTCAACAGTCATCATACCTTTGCTGCTGGCTCATCATTCTCGTCCTGTTCTTGATGTTTTAGTTCTGCTAGTTGCCTTGACAACAACTTCCTGTCTTCAATTAGAGTTTCCAGTGTTCGCCTGGCCTGACCAACGCTCACTAACACTTCAACCTCATGGCTTAACCAAGACTAAAAGAGAAACCATTGCTCACATTAATAGGCCAATCTTGTGCTGCGCTTATCATGCATCGTCTGATCAAGATATGAAAAAATTACATTTCCGAACAGCCAAAGAGTATAGCAATATAAGTAATCTCTAAATACCTGATCCCCAATATGGTTTACAGTTTCGGAGAAATCCTCTTTCTTAAAAAAAAAACTCGAAATCCTTCGAAGTTTTTGCCACCCACCAATTTCGCCGTTTTTGGTGGTCACTACAGTTTAAGATATTGCCTGCCGGAAACTGAAATTATAAAAATTGCCCAAGTTACCTTTCTGGCCACCCGTAAAGAATTTATCGTCATGACCATATTTGAAAGTTCTGTGCCAGGATCGACATGCAACCTGTCGGTGTTTTTTGCTTTTTAATTCTGACATTACCGGCTTTAAGGTATTTTGGCCAAAATGGGATTGCAGTCTAGAGGCAGGATGACATTCTTACCTTCATTCTGGGCATGAGGCCCTCTGCTTGTTTTTGTTGGTGTTGCTGGTGGGTAGATTTCTTTTCTGCCGCCACCTTCTGGCGTTCAAGTGCCATCTTGAGGCGCTTTTGCACCGCTACAACCTAGAAACACAAGAACTCTGCTGTTTGAATAGCTGCTCACGATAGTTCCTCGCTACACTGAATTTGTTTAGCAGTAGAAACGTGAGCGCCGACGGAGCCAACCGAATCCTAGCCTCCCACGCAGACGTTCTCAGGGGTTCGTCACGCGTTCCTGCCCCACTAACGTCTGCTTAAACGAGTGGTTAAATTCCTTTCACATTGTTCGCAAATATCGGCTGGAGCTCAAATGTAGATTATCCGAGAACCAATCTGCTGTTGAAGTCAAAGTGTTAACAAGCCAAACACATAAGTACAAGCTCGGTAGAGTGTGATACGTGGCTAAAGAGTTTCGCTCCAAGAGATAAGCGTTGGCGTTTTGTATATTTCTCTTTTTAAAGGCTGGATTAGATGTCATTTGCTCGTAAAGTTGTTCTGTGGGTGAGGCAACAGCAGGGTTGTACGTTGTAACTGAACAAAACGCGGATTTTTTTTAGATAAGCGATGAGTTTCACTGAAACGAGGTACTAACCACTACGCACAAGTCGACCAGACGTTTGTGGATAAAAACTGAACCAAAACGATTAGCATGTATGCATACCTCTTCAGTTTTCCTTTTGAGAACTGCCTGTTGCTTCACGTGTATGGACTCCAACTTCTTATACTCGAACTGCCTTTTGCGGCCCTAAAAATTGTTGACAAATATAAGTTTATGACACCAAAAAGGGGCGTTTAAACTACCAGGAATGCTATCTTATGAGCCTTTTCTTCCTTCTATGCGCACCTTTAAGGGCTATCCAAGGCAAGCCACTTGTAGCCGCAATTGCACTAAAACGTTGAAAAGGGGAACAAGTAACGGGCCTATTTTCTGGATCAAACAGTCGTCATTAAGATTACCAGTTTGAAAGCCAATGTGCCACGCACCATGATGAAAGAAGTGGCGGATTTAAGGGAGGAGCCCGGGCCCCTACCTCATTTCAAGGCTAAACTGAAACCCGCAGGGTCGAGAAACCGGAGTTTAAGCAACAACTACGGCGACGGCTACAAAAAAGTCACTTAAAAAGTGAATTCGCGCTGCCTCAAACTTATTCCATCTCGTTTAATTCGTCAAATGTTGGCAAATTTTCTAGTGGAGTTTAATTCTAAAGGAATCTATCCAAGTTCAAGAAAAGGAAAGAAAGTTGTGTTCTCGTCCTTGACAAAACGTGAAATTAGGCACTTTCACGTCGTAGTCATGCAATGACGGCTGAGAAATGTACAAAAAGGCGTGAGCATGTGCAAAGTTGTTGTTTTGTCAATCTAAACCTATTGCTTTTTTGCCGTTCTCGATGCCGTCGCCGTTGCTTAAGCTCCCTATATTTATAAATACTCATGCTAACTTTTCATCTCTGGGAACCCTGACATGCGCCCTTGAAGGGGTTGTGTATTTGGATCGGTTTGATTGTAAGCCATTGCAAAGCTGTTGGGTTACCAAGTTTTTGTCACTAGGTCTCAGTTAAGTACTAAGAAACCTGCAATCCTGGGTGCAAGCGCCCGAAACTAAGGAATTTACATTGCAAGATCTTATCAAATTGCAGCTAACTTGTTCTTTCAACTGATAAATCTCCTTCTCTTTCTGCTCCTTCAGTGCTCTGAAGCGTTCAGACTCTTCTTTCATTTGACGCATAAGCTTAACGCGAATGGATTTCATTCCCTGAAAAAAGAAAAAAAATAAACCTTCAAAGTAACAGTTGAAGCAAAACATGCTCTTTTGAAGATTTTTTGCATCATTCAGTGGCACAATTCAACCCAAAGGTAAAACTTTTAAAAACCAAAATAAAGTGGACGATCACTTCTAGTCAATAAGATAAAAAAAATAAGTCTCATTTACCTGAATCTCAGAATTGAGCTTCTTTATAGTGTTATCACTTTGCTCCTTTAATTTCAACAGCTTCTGTTGTTCAACCTAATAACATCAAAAGACGACTCAAGAAATCGATTGCAGTTTTCGAAAGCTGGAAATGGATTAAAGCCGTGGCCGAGGGGTTAGAGCGCTGGACTTGCAAGTCGGAGGCCTCGAGTTCCCGCCCCGCAATGACCGCTTATTGGATTTGTTCGCTGTAGT